AATCGGTGCCTTTAAGTGTGTTTATTTAATAGTTCGACTAATTTATTGAAACTAACCTTGAAAAATAAATATGAAAGTCAATTGGAATATAAAACAGGAGATAAAGTTCTCCTTTTTTATTGAATTGGTGCATTTTAAGTGTATTTATTTAGTGGTTCATATAATTCTGCTTTTATTTCTAATTATGTCAGTTTCGGTACTCCGTACTGCAGAAGCCTGATAATCATCTATTCATTTATATCAGGTGTGTTGCAGCAGAGAAACAAGTAAAACATGCAGAACTGCGGCCCTCCAGGACCAGGATTGCCCATGCCTGTCTTAGTTTATCATCTAAGAAAATAAGTAAAAAAACACATTTCTTATTTTAGTAAAATGCAGTACCTCCTGTGACTTTTCACATTCTGGTATTCTTTGTTTTGTGTCATTCTTTTCCCAACTTAATGAACGTTTTTCTGCTCTGCAGCGAAGCAGTAAAGAGTCACCGGGGCTCGTGGTCACATTAAAAACCTTATTTTCTGTTGATGAACTCTGCATTACTTAAACACACAAAAACATCAAGTCATTCACAGAACTCCAGATTTACTTGTTATCACTTATCGGTTAATTTTATAATTTATTTATTATTTAAGGTGTTTAACAGTTGTTTCCTTTTTTTGTTTGAGTTGCTTTAAATATTTATTACATTTTTTTTCATCTTTGATCATGATGTTTATTTACCATAATCATTCAGCAAGGTGCATTCCTGTCCTGCAGCGTTGGTGGCACAACACATTGGCATTATGTTATAATACTCATTAATTGATAATGAACCAGTCGCATAACGCACATTTATCTTCTTTACTTCCTTGTGTGTGTCAGCATTCTTGGCCAATAAAGCTGATGCTGATTCTTTGACACTGAAAGGAACGTTGTTATTGTAAATCATGTTTCAATAAAGTTTGTGTCAAGTCTGAAAAATATGCATTTTTTCAGAGAAAGATTTCTTACCGAAACCATTCAATTTTAGGCTCTGGCATGCCCTCAGAGACGCACCTCAGCTCAGGAGACCTGCCTGGCCCTTTCAACTTGAGCGACAGCTTTGGTTTACTGGGGCGTCCTAGAAAACATGTTGTTTAAATTATTATACATGTATTTAAAGAAACTCAAGCAGGTTTGTGTTTGATGGCTCCTTTAAGCTCTAGAAGTGTAGATGTGACAGAACTCACCCATCCTCACAAGAAGAACAAACAGTTTTGAAAAAGAGGGTCCACTTTCACTTTCACAGGTCAGATTGTATTCCCCAGAATCAGTCCCAGAAAGCTGGGGTATGACGGTGGAGGCATTCCCATTTCTGGTGAGGTTGAGGAAAATGTGAGGGTTTTACAATTGATTTGATTTGATTTATTTATTTAACAGGAAAAGATTATTAAAAATCAAGCCTGACTCAGAATAATTGCTGTTTTACAGCAGGTTCCTGTTCTGCAGCACATAAAACACTCAGAATTACAGCATCACAATCACATCATT